TCTGCCTGTCCGTCAGAGGATAGACTTTAAAGTTCTGATGCTGGTCTATAAAGCTCTGAATGGTCTGACCCAGTATGAACCTTCCAGATCCCTCAGGTCATCTGGATCCGGTCTTTTATCAGTTCCCAGAGTCAGAACCAGACACGGAGAAGCTGCATTCAGCTTTTATGCTCCTTATATCTGGAACAAACTCCCAGAAAGCCTCAGATCAGCTGAAACACTCAGTTTATTTAAATCCAAATTGAAGACTCACCTGTTCTCAGCTGCATTTGAATAAAGCACCAAATCCACACTTTTAAGCTTAAATTTCAAAACTAACATTCAACTACTGATTTTATCTACTGTTCTGATTTTATCTACTGTTTTGATTTTATATACTGTTTTGTTTGTTTGTTTGTTTGTTAATTAGTTTGTTTGTTTGTTTGCTTGTTTTAATCAATTTTAAATCATGCTTTTTATTTGTTCTTGTTTCTAACGTCTCTGTAAAGCACTTTGAATCACCTTGTTGTTGAATTGTGCTATACAAATAAACTTGCCTTGCCTTGCCTAAAATCTGTGCAAAGTATGGCAAGTTACCAATAAGATGCTTTTTTCTAAAGCAAAGATCTGGCTCTTGTCCAAAAGCACGCAATAGTAGCTTTCATTAATAGTTGCTGCTGCTAGCCGATATAATGCCAAGTCTTTTGCCAAAAACATGTCTGCCAGAGCTTCTAGAGATCTGTTGTCTGTCTCTATGTGACCCCCTACACCCCAGCCCCCACCCTCAACCCTCACAAGGATAAGTAAAAGAGAATGAAAACTAGGTCTTTGAATGTTACTACCACTTAAGCTAAATTTAACTGACACAAGAATAGCTTTCATCAGTGCTTTCTCAGTAATCTTACCTGCTGGGGCTGATACTGTGAACTTTGGGATCCAACCAGGGTGCATGTGGGCTGGGTTCATTATAAACTAGAGGCTGAGTGCAGTGCAGAGTAAGTGAAGGTACATTTACATTATGGTGAGTGTGAGAAGGCCAAAAGGCTGAGGGGCTGAGGGGAGGACACAGAGATGATGGACTGTCAGTGATGGGTGACCTGGTGTAGCTCAGCACGGAGGGGCTGTAGAAGGTCAAAGGTCCGTGCCCGTGGTTATAGTCATGGTTACTGTCTGTGTATGGAGAGGGAATGCAGATGGTGTGGCTGTCCATGCCCACAGGAGGGCTGTACATAGCAGGCAGAAGTCCTGGGGAGCTCACCCTCTCTGTGGCTTTACTGGAGTCCACCTCCTCAAGCTGAAGGAGGGGTAACGGGTTAGCATCCAGGGCAGGGGAGGAGGTCATGTCAGGGGAATATACTGTATTTGCTGTGAATGAATGATTTGATGCAGGTGGATATTCTATAGCATCTTCTCGAATGGCCGGGTCCTGTAGCAGAGAGGGAAGAAACACTATATTAAAATAATTAACTGCTGCAAATTCTGAGCAAATACCAATATTTACAATATCGACCATAGCAGATTTTCTTTTTATACCAAGGAATTTATTTTTTCAAATTATGTAGCTCAGAGCTTTTCAGTTCACCATCTTAGAACAAGTCCATATGTTCAGAATGCACTAACTCAGTCCCAGTTCCAAGACATCAAAATTATAGTTTTGCAGTCCAAAACTGACAAGACATAATCGTCTAATTTGGCAAAAGGCAGACAACAGTTAACACGGTGAAAAAGGATGAGAAATAGGGAATGTTTTTAAAATTGAACCTAACTGGAGCGTGACCAAGACAGTAACTAGTCGTCTATTTTATCAACTGCTTCAAGGATCTGTCACCAGGGTGGCTTGCCCACTTACCTAACATGCATGTGCCAGTTTGCAACACAAAGCCTCATTACTGTGAAGCATACAAGCAATGCACTAGAATTATTCCTTAAGAATACTTAATTTGTATAGCACTAAATCACAGTTGCCTCAAAGTGCTTTATATTGTACGGAAAGTACTCTACAATAATACAGAGAAATTCCAACAATCAGACCAGCCCCTGTGAGCAAGCACTTTGGTGACAGTGGGAAGGAAAAACTCAGTTTTAACAAGAAAACACCTCCAACACAACCTGGTTCTGGGAGGGGCAGCCATCTGCTGTGACTGTTTGGGGGTGAGGGGAGGAAAACAGGACAAAAACATGCTGTGAAAAAGAGCCAGGGAGGGTCACCAGATCCAGCCCTAATTATAAGCTTTGCAAAAAGGAAAGTCTTAAAGCCTAATCTTAAAGAGAGGGTGTCTGTCTCCTGAATCCAAGCTGGGCCAACAATCTGAGACCTAAGTGCTGTATTGGGGTCATCGTCACTCTAAGACAGGGTGTTATCTGGCTTCGTGGAACGATAAAGCTGGGTATCATCTACATAGCAGTGAAAATACATGCTATGCCTTGTAATTATACTGCCCAGGGTATGGCTATATAGGAAGGATGTAATGTAAACAGAACTTGTCCTAACACAGAACCCTGTTTAACTCTACAATTAACAAATTAACATATCCACTAAAGGGGTCAACATTCTTGACAACGCTCTTTTACGAAGAGCCATTTTTAGCCATTAGTCCTTTGGACATAAGGCTGAAACTTCTTGTTCTCTTGCTGCTGTTTGTGCCTGTCCCTACTAAAGACAAGTAGCTCAATCAGCTCAGTCACTCTCCAACTTTTCTTTCTCTTCTCAGGGGGTGTCGCTCTTTGTTATGTGGGTGTGTCGCTCCTTGTGGCATCCTTTAGCACATGTTCCAGACATCTTAGGTGCTGTTTTTCAATGTGTTTTAGTGTTTCTTAAAAAATATTAGCTCATTTTAAATGTGATGCCAGAAACACATTTAGTGGTACTTAAAAAAATGTTTAAGAAACATTTAGCAGCTAATTAGCTTAACTGTGTAATCTGTGTGCAAGAAACAGGGCGCTTCTCTGAGCCTGGTTCTGCTGGAGGTTTCTTCCTGGTAAAAGGGAGTTTTTCCTTGCTCATATGGGGTCATATGGTTGTTGGCATTGTTTGTTGGGGTTTTTTTGTATTATTGCAGGGTCTTTACCTTGCAATACAACGTAAGGCAACTGTTACAGTGATTTGCCGTTATAAATAGTATTGAATAGAATTGAACTGAACTGAACTGACTTGAATGAAATTTAAAGTCAATATTGGATGCCTGTAAACTTTGGACCCTCAGTTGCAGTCTTGGTTGCGCCATTAAAAATCACTCCATGGTCTCAGGAACGCTTCCAGAAGTCACTGTCCAATAACACCGTGAACTGTGCTAGCAATAAATGCAGGTTAAAGCGCTATCATGCAAAGTATAAGCCAAATGGGATCGATAAATTAAACGGTAGCAAACTGTTCTGTGGTCAGACAAATTTTAATTTCTTTATGGAAAATATGGATACTCTGCCTCAATAATTCTGATGTGTTGTTGCCAGCAAAATCTATATCAGCCAATTGTTCTCTTAAAACGTCACATTTTCTCAGTTTAAATATTTAATGTTCTATTGTAAAATCATTGCATTCTGTTTTTATTTAGATTTCACACAGCACGCTGACAGATGATGCCACAGCTTCATTTACCATTTCAAATAATTTCAGTAACACCCTGTAGCTTTTAGATAAAATAGCATCCCTGGATGAATATACAGGACAAAAATTGGTTTTCAAAGAAATCAATTTCTAATGTAGTCAGCAAAATGTCTTTACATAGTCACACTGAAAACAATGAATAAAAGTAATAAATAGTGTAAGGATGTTAAAAATGTGCAGCTCACCAAAATAAAATGTTTGTGTCTGCACTTCCCTAAAACTCTACAACTGATATTGAATATGCATAGCTAACAAGAACCATGAACAAAACTAAGAAGACATTACTATTTCTATAATGAATGCACTGCATCTCAAACCTTAAAGCAGATGGGCTACAGCAGCAGAAGACCACGCTGGTTACCAAACCCATAATCTAAGAACAGGAAACTGAGGCTGCAATGCACACAGATCACCAAAATTGGAAGAAGATTGGAAAAAGGTTGCCTGGTCTAATTCATTCAGATGACAGGGTCCAAATTTGGCGTAAACTATGCATCAAAGGTTGACACTGAGTTCACTGTACTCAGACATCTCAGTCAAAGCATCTCAACATGAGGGCACTTTTATAATGTGGCAGAAGATGTAGTGGGAGATTCATGGACATGATGGATTTTTAACTGATAAATCTGCAGCAACTCAATGATTCAGTGATGTCAATCTGGACAAGAATCTCAGCAGAAAGGTTCCAACACCTCAGTGAAGCTAAGAGAGGATCCAGGCCCTTTGGTCTGCTGAGTGCGTTGCTCTCTGGTAATATTAGTCTGCAAACCTGGAGCAGACACTGGGTGCCTGCTGTGTTTGAAAGATAAAAACTAGACACATGTTTCATGACTAAGTGAAAAAAATTAGTCTGCTAAAGTTTTACTTTTAACCAAGTAAAGTGCACCCTGCACTAGTAGTTCAACTGCTATAGCAGTTGAACTACTAGTGCAGGGTGTTTTGCTTTGTTAGCTAACACCAACAACTGACATGTGTTAAATATTCCCACAGACTTTGTTACATGCTGCTTTTACTGAACATGTGTGTCTCTCTCTCACACACACGCGCGTGAACACACACAGTTTGTGGAGCCCAGTGAAATGATGTAACAGCTTACTTACTGTGCCGAAGGTGAAGAGACGAACCCAGTATTTATTAGCAGTGTGATTAAACTGTGAACATTTGTTCCAGAGACAGAATATAAAAGCACAAAATGATCTGCCTGTTTGACCTCACTTGGCTTGCAAAACTGTGCCAGCAAACTATGCCAGCAAAGCCATCCACTGGTTAATCAGTGCCAGAATCAACAGCTCAGCAGCTGGTACCTCTGCACAGTCAATCGCACACACCACGAATGACAAGTAGAAACATACCGCTGGCAGGTAAGGGGAGTGAGCACATCTAAGTACATTTGGAAACACTTTTTCAAGCCCTACGTGCATCATGAAGTCCTAGGTGAGCAAAGAATCTGAAAGTACAGTAGTGCCGTAGCTATGGAGATAGAGAAAAAGCAAAATATGGCAAAATTTAAGAAAAAGCTAAATATAATACAATGAATAACGCTTTGTGTTTCAGATCTCTGTGTTCTCTTATGTTTCTGTTTTTAATTTGTTTTAAACGCTGCTCTATTTTCCACTTCGTGGCCACAATCCATGGCCTGGATAGTAAACATAAAGCTACATTTCACTCGCTTCACAGTGTCAGCTGAGACCAAAAGTCATAATAACATGCAAATGTATCTTGGACAAAAGGATAAATTATAAAACACAAGAAAAACGTCGGCAGTTCAACGCTGTTACTGTGTACTAGTCAGTCAATGAACAGTCAATGTGTGTATAACGCAGGTCAGGTCAAAGTGGTCTTGAGCAAAAACAATGCACCCTGTATACGAACGTCACCTCTCACCTAATTCCCAGCCTGGGTCCTTCGAGGCCATCACATTCACTTCCATTCACAAAAAGTAAATACGTCCAAGAAATACAGCCTTTGATTTTAACTAGTGGGTTTCACTGAACCCAAGTGGACACCATGAGTTGAAACCTATAGCTCTTAAGTCAGGTCAGATGTCCATACATACAGACATCTGCCTTGCTGCAGGTAGATGGTTAAGATAAACAGAGACAGTAATTATGTATTTTCCATAATATGTTAGCATTATTTGTCATTTAGCTTTTACCATCCAATTTTAGAAGTGCATGCAGGGCACTGTAAGTAATGTGTATGATGCTGAAGATGATAATCACCTGATCTGACGAGAAGAAGCAAATATCTGCTCATCACTGACATCAGATCCGAAGACAGCTTACACAGTAACTGAAGCTGCTATTTTAAGCTTGGTATTTTGGTTCAAATACATTTCATAAATTTTTACTAGCGGTTTAAATCAGGAAATCTCTCTTAGCTGTACTGCCAAGGAGCAGAGATATGAAGCTATCCCATATGGAAAAGATATATATAAATCTTATAAAGTTTGTTTCTGTCTTGTGTGAAACTTGTATGAAAAGCATACAAGAGTAAAAACAGATATCCCTTGAAAAATTATATAAATGACTTGTATGTTTTGGATACTTACTAAAACAAGGTATGAAAGTAATGAGAAAGTGGCCACTTTCATGAGTAAATCATATAAGCCTTATATGATTCACTATATGAAGTAGGCCACATCTTAAGCAAGTCTTTTATAAGTTTTTACTATTTCTTTTCCATATGGGATAGAACAGACGATAATGTGTGTTCTCTGACATCAGAATCACAATCAGGAATTTAATTATCCTTAAGGAAATTATGTAGGGATATGTTGCTAGCAGAGATAGGCAGTAACGCGTTACTGTAATCCGATTACT